CGTCGTCTCAGAGAGAGAGACCGCTTCCATGAAGGGTAAAGGCTACCTCAAATCGTACCGTTACGCGGGGACTACGAACGTTTTTCCTCGGCCGATCAATCGGCAATTTCTTCCTTTCCGTATCGATACCGATCGCCTGTTTGCAAGTTTGCCCTGCCTTCTAAACCGTCCCGACTCGTCCCGGTATTCGAGGCAGATGCCACCGGGGAGAGCTCCTCGATGCGACGTTCAATGACGAAACCGCCTTTCTCAGACACCAACAAGCATCTCGCATCGTGCAACTCTTTTCTTCTTTTGTTCGTTAAGAGTTCGTTCTCATCGTACGTGACGATCGTTTCTAGAATTGGACTCGCTTCGGGCGCGCAACGTCCCCGAAGCAACCGACCATCAACATGCCTGAACAAAACTGTGCGTACATCCGTTTCTACGGACTCGATTCGACAGCCGATATGTCTAACTCTTGTCACCCTGTTTGAACTCCAACTGTACGAGCTACTTTGCCCCGCAACAAGTTTGCGATACGAATGAAATAAAAAAATGGAACGGGCGTCGAAATAAAGCGGCGTCGGAAAGTTCACTTTCTTGAGAAGTTAGAGAAGTAGAGAGTTCGAAGACTCGTCTCAGATTGGAATACGTGAATTTGCCCAAGAGCTCGATAATAAATTATTCGAAGGGAAATTCGAAGCGACTCGCTGTCACTGTCACATTCCACGCACCGTACGTGTTCGATTCTCGGTCGCGTTGGACGATAATTATTTATCAGGAAGCTTCCCTTGCTTCCGCTGTGCTTGCGAATTCATGCTTTCTCTTTCCCACGCCAGACACATCGTCATGGAAACGAGTAATTAGCAGCCGTGGGGCATTCCACGTACCCGAATCCCTCTTTAAATCGATTTATACGCCAGTTAATTGCAGACTGACTGACGGAACGTCGTTCTTCCCTCTCGCGTTCATCTCCTCTGTCTTTTGTTCCCTCCCTCGCCTAACCCACCTGTCACGGTTACCGTCACAACGTCGTTCTCAAACGAAATTATCAAAAATCCTACGAGAACGTTCGTCCGTTCGTTCTCAGATCGATCGCCACGTTTCCACGATTGTAATCTTTCTATCTCCGAAATGCAATCTCCCTTCTTTGATTTTAATTTCAATTTTACGGCTACGAGCGTGTACGTATATATCGTGCCTGTTGCGCGAAACTTTCCTGAAATTTCATTCCAGAAGTTCGTGATCGGTGCTCCGAAATTTACGATCGCAATGCGCTAACCGTGTCAGTGTCTCTCTGTTAGAAAATATCACTATCTATCCTGCAAGTGTTCGAGTGCACTTTCGCCAGCCACTCTACGTGATAATAAAAGTGAGCTACGCGAGTCCAAGAGACGACGTAAGTTTTAACGTTTCAACGCCGTCTTCGTCTTCGGATGATTGTACGTAACTCGTTCGACAACGCGCCTCCACCCTTTCTATCCTTTTTTCTTTTCCGTTAATTTAAGAGTTGTCCTTCTTTGTGTTTGCAGGTCAGACGTTTGCGGGAATGAGTCACGCTGCCGCCGAAAGGCGTGGATGGAAAGAGCGGCGAGACAGAAAGATGGCAATTTTATTTTCGTCCAGACGCGGCTACCGCCCGTCTGGCACGAAATCTTTTAAAAGCACGTCGCGAGAGTGGGAAACCACCGAGCTTCGAATTTCGAGAAAGGGCAAGACCGAACGTCGGTCTTGATCTCGTCCGATTTTTCCTTGATTCTCGTCGACGAGAAGAAGAAGAAGAAAGGGTGGGGGGAGGGGGAGGAAAAGAAGAGAAAAAAGATCGACCAGACAGGGAGGTTCGACGACGTGGTCCGCGGGTTCGCCGCGGTTCTTCTCAGGGGATTTCGCAGTCGGCCGGCCTGATCGGGAAAAGGAGTTGGCCAATTAGGAACACGTGTTGCGACGGAACGCAATATGTGGATTTTATATTTGGTGGCCGCGCGCGCGAGCAGCACCGTCGGACGCAAATAAATGCGTGAGAGTGAGCGCGACAGAGGAAGAAACAGGCCGGACGGAGAGACGGGGAAAGAAGGAAAGAGAAAAAAAGCCGGTCGCAGCGTAGAACGGAGAGACAATAAAACTGAAACATTAAGTACACAGCACCGTGAGCTTCGGCGCTTGAGAGATAAATATAGTTTTAGAGAACAGAGGTCAGTCGCATTGCAAGACCGCACTATAGAATCGTTTTCTAGTTAAGGCTGTTACGGCTGTTCGTTAGGTTCGACTTACGCCGTGCGCTTTCGAATTATCCACGCGTCCACGTCGTCGCGCGAGGACAGACGAACTATAATAAGGAAGGATATATAAAACGAGACGAGAACGAGTTTCACGCGCGTAACGCGCGAACAATGTACAGAACGATACACCTTCGCGATTACGCGCGTGACGCGGCGTGAACGCGGAGTCAACGATTTGGTTGGAAACCACCGCGTCAAAGATAATTAGCGTGTATAAATAGCGTGGAGGCAAGGGTTAGAAATAAAGAGGCACGGCCTCTGATGGAACGAAAGCAGGGAAAACGAAAAGGAGGCTGAACCAGACTACTCGAACAAAGTGGAAATGATGGAAAACAACAACGCGGTGATACCACGGTGTCGTGGCCCTGCCTATAAATAAATGAAGAAATAATTGATACGAGCGACGGGTTTCTCGTTTCCCCTCCCCGTATCCTCATCCTCGGCGCACTTTTCGCCGCTATCGTCCAGTTCTTTCGCTCGTCGCTCGTTGCAGCAGCTGTCGCTCTAAGGGCGGCGGCGTTTAAAAATATCACGCGACAAATCATCTCTCTACCAGCGGCACACACGACACGATAAGATTAAACGCGTGAAACCTCGAATGCTCGAAAATTTAAAAAGCCAACATACGAATTCGAGCCGATCCGATTCATCTGCATGTACGGACACCCGCTTGTGAGTAACCGGACACCGGACTTGTATTGTGCTGGATGGAGGGAATCCGAGGGGGGGGGGGGAATTCACTTTCCACGACTTCACGAACCTTTTCTTTTTTTTTTT